CCCTCACCTGCTGTCTCTGTGTTGGGGACACCCCCTCACCTGCTGTCTCTGTGGTGCGAACACCCCCTCACCTGCTGTCTCTGTGGTGGCGACACGTCCTCCCCTGGGCTTGTCTGTGTGGTCTGGGCTCCTTCTCCCTGGGTCTGTCTTCATGCGGGTCCCGGAAGGAAGGGAAGCCACTTGCTTCAGAGCCAGAAGTTCACGTGCATGGCTTCCCAGCCACACTTTGGGCCTCTGTGAACTTCTTCCATTTGCAGCAGAGTTACCGAGCTCCCAGCTGCCCTGGCAAGCACTCCAGGTTCCCACAGCAGCCCCCACAAAGTCAGGTTTGTGTCCTGTGCCACGTGAGTCATGGAGAGTGGTAGGAAAAGAGCCTCCAGCAAGCAGAGCCGATGGATGGAGGAGGCAGCTTCCTTCTTCCCAGGCTGTGGGACCCCACCATTGTCTGACCCACTGCCACGGCCTCCTGGATATTACAGAAGGGCTCAGCTCGGGGTAGGGGGTCAGCATGTCCCCTGTGCCTGCCTCGAGTGTGGAACTGGCAGACCTGTGTGGAAGAGCTGCCTTTCTTGCCTTTCCCATCTCCCGGTGCCTGGACGTCCCAGGCACATCCCATTGTCCAGAACTCCCGCCCCTTTGCTCCCGGAGCTCCAGCATTGCCCCTTTTCTTTGCTGGTGCCTGAAACAATCACGGCCACAGATCCCAGCTGAGGAACCAGCTTGCCCCGGTGCTCCTGGCCTGGCTGCTTCTGCTCTTCCAGCACATGCCCCTGCCAGCCCAGGCAGGGAGTGGGGAGGTGGTGGCGGAGGAGACCCCTTGGAAGGGTACTCACTTTCACATCACACCACTTCCCCACCTAGGAGAGAGTCTCAAAAAGACCCTTTTTTTGTCAAGAAAGAGGCTGGTCAGTGTCCCATTGGCCCCACAAGGCTGCGCATCTAACCTTCTTCTCACGCGGGGTGTGGGGAGAGCAGCCCCAGGCTCACCGGGCCCTGGGCCCTGCAGTGGATGATCTGGACACATTCTCACCTGCTGGAGCCCTGAAAAGCCAGGCGCCCAGAGTGTCCCAGCGTCGGCGGCCCAGGCGCTTCCAGAAACCCTGCAGGCAGCATCTCACCCCAGTCAGCTGCCAAACTCCAGCCACACGCAGACTCTCAGAGCGGACTTTTGCCCCTAGACCACAGTCCAACTCACGCAGGCCACACTGGCCGGGCCACGGTTTCCTGTGCTCTCTGGCACAGACCACGGCCCCCGAGGTCTGCAGCGCACTGAGCTGTCACCTGCTGCCAACTCCCCAGACTGGAAGAAACCCTGGAGAGCCCAGAGGCACAACAAAGAAACCCAGTCCCTCATCTTTCAGTTTCTTCTCCTTGCATTTCCAGTGAAGGGAGGGAAAGGAAGGGGAGCCCGGGAGCCATGCAAGGAGGAAGGACGGGGGGAGACCCAGCTTTCCAGCGTCTACCATGGAACGCCGAGTGCAGAGGGTCAGCAGGTCCCATCCCCGCTGAGGGCGTGACCCACCAGGGCTTTCTTCTGGTCTAGGGAGAGGGGAGGTGTATGTCAGGGTTGGGTTTTCGTCCGGGTCACGGAGGAGAGACAGCTGTTCTGCCTGGACTAAACAAAACGGTGCTGGGCAAGCATGCAGAGGTGAGAGCGGCCGGAAGCGAGGGTGGCAGCACCCCAGGTAACAGGGCCGAGCCTGATGGTGGCACCTCCAGGGCCTGTTCCTAGCTCGCAGGCGCTCCGGGCCCACATGGGAGAATGACAGCTCACACCGACGGTGCGCTTAGTCAGCGTCCCTCCTCCTCAAAGCCTGGCAGACGCTGACCCGCCACCCGCAAGCCCACCACTGCGCTGTCCTCCAGAGCCGGCCCTCAGGAAGTTCCAATACCCTGAGCTGCTGAGACCCCTCGGAGCCCCTTTGGTGGAGGGCGCTTTTGAGGCTGCCAGGGTGAGTGTGAGCTCCCAGGCCCTGGTGGCATTTGTCACGGATGGCACCAGTCTCCGTCCCTAGGTCTTGAAGGCAGGGGAGGGAGGCTACTTTGACATCACTCAGCATAAGCAATCCGGCCCACTGATTTCTATCTGAGACACCAGAGATCCCTCGGTTAGGGAGAGGGAAAGAGCAGACAGCTTCAGGCAGCCTGACGTGAGGGTCCGCTGCAGCCTGGGGCCCAGGCAGGTCCCCCACTGATGAGCCAAGGAGCCAGCTGATGCCCATCCATATCCATCATGCCCAGGCATCACCCTCAGCCCCCCTGGAGTAACCGTTCCTGACCTCAGAAGCCCTATGTGGCCACGGCTGCCCCATTTCTCCAGGTGAGGGGGCACATCGCTGCCATGGCATTGGCGCTGGATGGCCACGGTGCTCTCTGCTGGTGAAGCACATCCCTGGGACCCTCGGCATGCCTGTGGTGGGGGGCTCCGGTCAGAAAGCAAGTCCCTGGGCGGCTGATGGAGCAGCCTGGGGTTTCATTCATTCGTTCAACCATTCATTCATTCATTTCTGGCTTGGATGCCCCACTCATCAGAGTTGTCAGCCTTTCATCCACACTTCCCGAGGATTGGTTCCGGGTTCTGCTGGCGGCTCCAGGTCAGCTGCATTGACTGTGATGCCTCCTGGGCCTCTGGCGTCTTTGGGAGCCCGTCTCCTCTCCCATCATCATCCCCCACAGGGACCTTGAGGGGACAGGCTCCTTGAAGCTGGTACTTCCCTTACTGTCCATGCTGTCACCAGCTCCCCAGAGGAAACCATGAAAGGAACTTTCCATGCTTGCAAAGAAGGGCACGTGGCCTTCTAAACCCTTTGGTCATCTTCCAAGCCCTTTTGGCCCAAAGAGGGCTGCAGGGGGGCGTGTGACTGGCAGAGCTGCCTCCTGCTGGCCACCATCCAGGGCAGACCCACAGTGCAAGGCGCAGCCCCTCCAGAGACTGTGCCCTGTGGTGGAGGTGTCCCTGGGAGCCTCCCGGGCTTCTTTCCTGCATCTGCCCTCTTGAATGGAAGCGGCGGGCCCCAGGTGAGGGACTCTGTGCAGCTGGAGGCCAAGGAGAGGCCTGCACCTGCTTCTGGTAGAAGGAGGGGAGGTCTCCTGTCTGCACAAACCAGCATTGCAAATTGCTGGCCAGAGGCGGCGCGTGTTTGCTGAGTTGCTTGTGCCCGGACCAGGCAACTCCCAAGTCTCTGGTGAGGTCTGGGGCTGAACGGAAGGGTTTCAGCTGCTCCCATGGAGTATTTAAACTTTGCTCCCAGCAATCAGAAGGCCAATGAGACCAGGAGAGAAAATGTCAAGGTAACAGGGGTCTTCCAGAACTGCGGTGTGATTTGGCTGGGAGATGCTGAGAGCCGTTTTCTTCTTTCCACTGCTCTTGCTTGCTCTTGGAACGGGCACAGTGCAGCAGTCCGTGGGAAGCTACTTCCGATACACAGAGACGCCCATGAGATGGACGTGCCAGTGGAGGAAGAGCTCACACACACCTGACGCTCGCTGAGGAGAAAGTGGATTGGATTAAACCAAGCCTGGGCCTAAAAATGCTAAACGCAGCGGACCAAAGGTCTCTAAGGTTTAAATAACAAAAAAGGACACAAAATTAGATAAGGGCAATGCCCCTTGAAATTTCTGGTTCATTCTGGGGGTTCCAGCCCAACACTTATGCTTTTCTCAACAAGAGCCAGGACACGTCAGGGTCCCGCTGCCCCCAGGCTGGGCCGGGAGTCCAGGCTGGGCACCCTCCGTCCGCCCCACACCTTCTCATAAACGTGTTTCCTGTGACAGCGCGGGACCAGCACAGGCAGGCAGCAGCTACAGGGTCTCTGCAGAGCTGGGCACTGATTCAAACAGAGAAGCCAAGAAACTCAGACAGCAAAGGAGGAGGAGAAACAGAAACCATCGAGGAGAACTTGTTTTCAAGGAGAGTAGGGGAAGCTTCGGTGTTATTTCTTATCAAATGAGTCTCATAAATTAAATTTGAAACAGAGTCATAATAAAGATTTCTAAAGTAAAATCTGCCTCGGATGGCGCCAGGGATGGCCTTGGGCAAGGGGGAGTATCGGTGCTGTGTCAGTGAAGATGCCATAGCGAGACGCCGGACTGCGGCTCAGCGGCAGAGATGCCCCCTGCAGACAGACGCCTGGCGCCCCCCGCGGTGCCTGCGAAACTCAGACAACGTTCACCCGGTGGCTCTGCCATCCTTGCAGTGCCGTTTCCATGGCAACCCCAGGGATGCGTGCAGGCCCGGGCATCTGGAAATGGGTGTCCAAAGTCACGTGCAACAGCCAGCAGGCTCAACAACAGGAAGGCAGAGCGCCACAGTGACAACAGTAACAACCACAATAACAAGAGCGGCAGAGCCGAGTGCCGTCCCCGGGTGCCCGGCGCCGAGCTGCGCTGGACAGCATCTCACTCGTGGAGGAGCCTGTCCTGCAGAGCAGGACGTGGGGGCCGGCCAGTTGTGTAACTTGCAAAGTCCCCCAGCCAGAAGGACACGAAGCCAGGACTCCAGCCCGCGATGAGCTGCTACAAAGTCCACAGTCCCAGCCCCTAGGCCAGAAGTTCCCAACCCCCACCAGGACCACCTGGGAGCTGTTTGAAATGCAGGCTCCCGGGCCCCATCCCCACAGCTTTGACTCTGCACGTCAGAAGTGGAGCCATGAGCCTGCATTTCGACAGACCCTCCAGATCATCTGAGAATGGTGGGCCTCGAGCGCACTGGGAAAAGTCACCCCGGAACACGTCTGGTTTCACAGCGGGGACCGGGCTACCCCCCTTACCAGCTGGATCAGAAAGTCAACAGCAGGACTCCAGGCTCAGTGGAATTTGGCCACCAGCGATGCTTCCAAATTTGGGGCTGGCACCAGCGCAGAGTCAGGTGTCTCTGCACCTGACTCTTAGGTCCTGCCATTCCAATTCTCCCCACACCGCCAAGGTG